AGGGCTTAGCTCCCCACTTTGGAGGAGGGAGCCCCTGAAAACCTAATGGATAGATTCAAAACATGGCCCGATAATGCAAGCCCAAAGAATGGAAGCAGAAGATTGATGAAGACAGTGCCAGATAATGGGCTCCTTGGGCCAGAGGGCACTCAAGGGGTGAGTGGAGAGGACATGATCTCTTGGGGGGGAGTCAAGGGGTGAGTGGAGAGGACATGATCTCTTGGAGGGGAGTCAAGGGGTGAGTAGAGAGGACATGATCTCTTGGAGGGGAGTCAAGGGGTGAGTGGAGAGGACATGATCTCTTGGAGGGGAGGTGATGGTGATCTGACTTGGGTAAACAGAGCCAATGGGAGTAGAGCCTTGGGGATCTCCATTTGACGACGGGGTATGACTCAAGGTAAGGAGACAAAGCTACAAAACTCTGCTAACGATAGGAATTGGAATCTGTGAACTAAGAATCTGGGAAAATTTGAAGTGTTAATAAAAATGAAATGGACGCATAAAGATTGATGTCCTGGCCGCCCAACAGTGAGCTGAAATGGACTGGCGTTGGCCATTTTGAGTCTCAAAAGCATGTGATTTACTCTGCTGAGAACGACACAGTCAAGATGAATGGCATTGAGTTCATTGTCACACAGGACATTGCCAAATAAATCATGAAGGACAATGCTGTCTCTGAGAGAATTATATATTTTTTGCCTTCAAGAAAATCCAACCAATACAAATTTTATTCAAATTCATGCAGCAACCTCTAAAGCTAGCGATGAAGAAATTGAAGAATTGTACTAAATGGCTTTAGTCAGAAGGGAAACAAACACTCAAGATGCATTGATAAATTTTGGCTATTGTAATGCAAAAGTTAGAGACAACAAAGAAACAAATTGGAAAATATGGTCTTGGTGATAGAAACAAAACTGAAGCTCACATGTTACAGTTTTGCAAAATCAATAACTTGTTCTTAGAAAAGACCCTTTTTCAACAACATTGAAGGTGACCATACACTTGAACTTCTCCAGATGGAATAAACAGAAATTAAATTGACTATCTCACTGGGAAGAGAGGATGGAGAAGCTCAATAACAGAAGCTAAAACAAGGCCATGCGTTAACTGTGGAACAGAACATCAATTGCTCTTAAGTAATTACAGGATAAAGCTGATGAAAATTAGAGCAGCTACACACGAGCCAAAATACAACCTTGAGTCTCTCCCACCTGAATTTTGAGAACACCTGAAGACCAAATGTGACATCTTGAACACTAATGACAGAAGCGCTGACGTGCTCTGGGAGGACACCAACAACCTAGTAAATGAAGAACACAAAAGGTCATTGAAAAGACCAGGATGAAAGAAAGCAACCAAAGTAGATGTCAGAAGAGACTCTGAAACTTGCTCTTAATCACAGAGCAGTGAAGGGAATTGGAAGGAACGATGAAGTCAAAGAGCTGAAAAGAAAATTTCAAAAGAAGACAAAGCCAAATAGGATAAATGCACAAAGATCTAAAATTGGAAAAACAAATAACAAGAACGTGTTCAACATATCTTAAATGGAAAGACCTCGGGAAAAATGCAAACTTTGAGTAGCAATATTGAGCAGTTCTGTGGGTAAAATATTGAATGATTCAGGAAGCATCAAAGGAAGATGGAAAGAATACCACCATTTCACCAGGTAGCATATGAGCAAGAACCAGTGGTGCTGAAGGAAGAAGTTCAAGTTGCACTGACGGCATTAGCCAAACACAGGCGTTAATGAAACACCAATAGAAATGTTTCAACAAGCTGATGAAGCACTGGAAGCCTTTACTGGTCTTTGCCAGGAAATTTGGAAGAGAGCTACTTGGCCAACTGACTGAAAGGGATCCAAATTTGTATCTATTCCAAAAAAAAAGGTAACCTAATAATATTCAATCTATAGGACAATATTATTGATATCACATACAATTAAAATTTTGCAAAAGATCAAAACACAGTGGTTGCAGCAGTACATTGACAGGGAACTGCCTGATGTTCAGACTGGATTCAGAAGCGGATGTGGAGCAAAGGATATCTAGTGGATGTGAGCTGGATCTTGGTTGAAAACAGAGAATATCAGAAATATGTTTACTTGTGTTATATTGACTGTGCCCAAACATTCGGCTGTGTGGATCATAACAAGCCATGGATAACTTTGAAAAGAATGGGAATTTCCAAACACTTCATTGGGCGCATGTGAAACTTGTACATGGATCAAGAGGCAGGTACATGTACAGATGGAAAAATAGGATATTGCATGGTTTAAAATCCGGAAAGGTGTGTGACAGGTTTGTGTCCTCTCACCATACATATTCAATCTGTACACTGGAAAAATAATCAGAGAAACTGGCTTATATGGCCCTAGTTTGAAACCACCATCTACTTTGCCCGAGAAAGATGAGGCTTTCTACTCCCACACGAGTTACAGCCCCCAATTCCTCAGGGGCTGTTTTACGCTGCCCTGCAGGTTTGCTGTGACTAGGAACTGACTTGATGGCAGTGAGTTTGGGGGTTTATTTTGGAGCAAAAATAAATACCTTTGGCCTAAATTTAAATCCAATTTAAATATTTATTCTTGTAGAGATTAAATGCAGTTTCTCCACAATACATGTCTATTTTGCTGTCCAAGATCTTAAAATTAGCTGGAGAAATTTTATTCAAAGGAATTTTAAGTGATCTGTGTAAGAGGTCTCACTGCCTTCAAGTCAATTGGGTTCCACCTTAGGCTATTAACCACAGACTCACCTCTTAGAAACCACCAGCCAGTTCCTAGAAGGAAAATGAGGCTTCCTACTGTGAAAAAGTTACACTCTTGGAAACTCATGGGGGCAGTTCTATTCTGTCCAATAGGGTCATTATGAATCAGAACTGATCTGAGATGGCAGTGATAAAAGAGGAGGATTCAAAAAGTCAATGGGCAAATTGAATGAAAAGATGTATTTTTGCATGAAAATTTATATCCTCTCATATATCTATATATTTTATCCACTAAGTTATATAGACATATGAAGAGATTCAAATTTTAATAATAATTGGTAAAATAACAGGGCGAAATATAATGACTAATCCTGGATTTTGAAGTATTTACAGAAAATATGTAGGTGGTGTACTTTTGTTTGAGGAATTAATTTCATTATTATAAATCTATTCACTCACCTATGCATCCACCTACAAACTCTAAAAATTAAAGGATGAGTATTTTATGAAATGGTCATTCCTGTGTAGTGTAACCAATAATTTGGCCAGCATTCAGCAGAGATCACAACATTAAAAATATCATTCCCTTGGTGGTTTTCAAGATCAATTTACTAAGGTGTACGTAAACTACTTTCAAGGGTGTAGATGAGTTCACACTTCAGTAAGCCTTTCCTCCATGAGACACGGTTCCACTCGGACACGATTCCTTATCATTCCACAAGTTGTATGGTGTACAGCACACCTAAGAACCCTGCTGCTTATTCAATGTCTAGTTAACACTATATTACCACAAATATCAGCTACGATGGATCATTATCTTCTACCAGGAGTGTTAGAAAGGAGAGCGCGAGCTCTTCATTCAAAGAAAGCGAAACTGAGCTGTAGAGAAGTCGAACTAGTTTATCTGAAGTCATGTGGGACAAAGCCATAGACTCTTACTATTAACCAGTGTCATTTCTATTGCGCAGCTAGATTTGAAGGGCTTTCCATGATTCCATGCAGTTTTAAAAGCCAGTTCTGCCTTTAGAAGATAGGTTTGTGTGTGGCCCAAAACTTCAAAGCTGAAACTAGAAGTCTCATCGTGTCTTGTCTTTTTGTGTGTGTGCGTGAGACTCAAGTATACTTTATATAAGTATACTTTATCTAAATTTTTGTGCAAGGATCCTTGGTGGCACAGTGGGTTATGAATTGAACTGCTAACTACAGAGCTAGTAGTGCAAACCCACCAGTGGCGCCCCACGAGAGAGATGAGGCTGTCTATTCCCGTGAAGTCTCAGAGACTCAATGTTCTCTCTATCCCACAGGGCCGCTATGAGTCAATCAACTTGATGGCAGTGAGTTTAGTTTTGAGTTTAGTAAATAGACATACACAAAGAGCTACAAAAAGTTCATGGGAAATTTTTATTATTTTAAAATTTCATTTTTCATGAACTTTTTGAAACCTAGTGTACGCATATTTCTTGTGTGTGTGTATATATACATTCCATATATATTTCTTGTATAACACACACACATTGGATGTATACATATTATTTTATACTACAATTATACGCACATGAGTATGTGTGTATATATAGCGAGTTATAGAGAAGATAAATTAACATATTATAAATTTGTGTATATATAATTGTTCTTGTTATAAATCTACATTTTATTTCTCTTCCACATCAAGCATCTAGGCTACCTGTTTCTTATGGTGTTTAGCAAATGTATACTCAGGGAATGTAAATTTGTTTAAGAATCAGCCAAAATAATATGTGATTTGGCAAGCATATTTCAAATATGCTTTGACAATTTGATATTTGTCAAAATATGCTTTTATCCTGTAAAAAAAATCACAATGATAAATCCATTCAGATAAACAAACATATGTATCACACACACATACAGAGACAACAACAGAACTTATCTATTTGCATGTGTGTGTGTGTGTGTGTGTGTTATCTGAATGTCACCATGGTACCACCATCACGCTGGATATCATGAAGCTGTTTATAGAATCTTTATGTGGAGACACACAAAAATAAATATTGCCAAAATGCTTCTTTTCTTAAAACTCTGTACTGTGTCCTTTTTTCTCTTAAAAGGTGTTTGTAGGTGTCTTTGGGAGACAACTCTGGTTGAATTGTGTTTGATTTATATTTTCATCTTAATTTTCTTAGGTTTAGGCTTCTTTGCAAACTCCATAAATAAAGTGTGTAGGTCATTTAGAATTAATTAGTAGTTAGGCTCCTTTGGTTCTGGGAAACACTATTAAGACAACATTCTCAACATTTGAGGGGAAAAGCTTAAAGTCATATCATAGTTTCTTTTTTAATATTTTCAAAAGTAGCCGACTTCACAAATACCAACTGTAACATGAGTTAGACAACTGAGAAACAGGCAACTGTATTTTAAAGTGCTAAAATGAAATACATTTATGCCAGTACAAAGCGAAACAATGCTGATAAAAATGTTTACCTTTATGAAAAAAAGTTTGCAATTCACATCAAAATAATTTAACATTCTCTATTATTTTAATAGTACAAGCTGCAACAACAGAAAAAGAACAGATACACTCACACAATTGTTAAACCAAATCAATGAGAAGTGCAGAAAAAAGTAAGTACAAGCAATTTTAGCGCACATAAATATTTTAGAATTGGCACCATCTCTCTAAAACATCTATATTCTATATAGATTTCTAATTACAACACCACCACCAGCTGCCATTGATTCTATAAATACACACAATATACATAGTATATTTGTTCACATTGAAAGATCAGTGAAATTCAGCCAACTGTTTTATACATGCCTCATATTTCAGTAGATAATCTTCTCCCAGGCCTTAGTCCCCCTTTAGCAGTAATTCTGTATATTTATCTTTATGCTTTCACTGATCTGTAATTTTTATTTTTCACAGTATAAAATTGTAAATGGTAACTAGAGATTCCGACAGCTTGAAGATTATTAATAATCTGTTGCTAAATGTGAACTCAGATAATACCTTTGAAGTCTCCGAAACATGTACATTTTGTTGGGAAACCAGTATAGGAATTTTTTTTTTTAAATTTTCTTTTTTCCTTAAAAAGAGTGTTTAGTTCCTGGTTTGGAAGTCACAAAAACTGCAGTCGAGTCATTAAATAAATCATTTACAGTTAGAAATAACCTCAAGAAATAATCTTTCTGATTACTTGCTGGTACCAGGTGTAGCTCAGGAGAGACTGTAACTATCGAAGATGAGCACACTGGGAGATTTGCTGTCTGTCGTTGCTTTAGGCAAGTCTAATGCGTGCTTCCTTTCCTTGTTCCTCTCTGTTCCCCATCCCCTAGTGAGACAAGTGGTTCTTTCCGATTCAGATATGATCTTCTTAGACTGCTCACACTCGTCTTCCCATGTGGAAGGATGAGTGGGCTGCTGAGTCAGCGTGACTTTTCTAGACCAGGTCTTCTTGCTTCCCTCAGGGGGCCAAACGCTCCTGCAGATGTTTCTGAGCCTTAGCAACACGCTGCAACTCCCTCTTCCTGCAGTCAGCTCTTCCTGGCTGGGCTTTCACTTGGCACTGGGAGCAGACTGCTCTCAAGGAAATTCAACAAGAATAAGTAACCGAATGGTTTGTGAAATTCATTTCCTAGCCCTAGAATGGATATTCAATTATCTTTGTAGTTTATATTTATTACTTGGAACCTGGTATTAGAATTGGCAAAAAGACAGAGTTAGCATCATTCTAAAACAAAAGACTTCAAGAATATCTTACTCATAAGATTATGTCCTATATATACACTGTATTCAGTGAAGCTTTAAAGCTTAGTGAAATACAGAGAAAGTACATCTTGTTCTTGTCTAATGGATTATTTTTCTTTTTACAGTTGCTTTATTATGAGTTCATATGGAATTTTCAAATGGCAAGTTATCTGCATCAAATTAAAATTTCTAATGAATTCCTTATCAAGTGGTGAACTTTAAAAAGAAATATGTTACTAAAGATTAGAAAAAAATTAGTCATGGATAAAGTTTTAAAAAGTTCTACTGATGAACAGAGGGAATTACATTGTACAACCAAACCTAAGGGTTTTGTGAAATGAGTTTTAAAACTTAGACAGACGAGCATATTTAGACAGGTCTCAATGTCTAAGAAATCAAGACAATGTAATAATAGCCAAGCTAATGCCACCAGGTTGAGGGTGATTTGGAAATAGTAATATTTCAAAATATTTTCCTTTATTTCTCAAGCAGATACAGGCATTTGCTTCCAATATAAGGAGGAAACGTAGCTAGATTTTACTTCTGGTGCTTGATATTGGGAAATCTGACTTAAAATTTAAGGACAGATATCAAGAAAGTCAGCAAGCAGTATATTTATTATAACTCTTATAAGTGGAGATTACTAAATTATATCAACGGATAGATTTCCATTTTGCCATTATTGTTTTCTAAAACACCATGTGAAATGAGAAATATATACTCCAAAATAAGGAAACTGAGCTAAAGATGTTTCTTCTTTTTTCTTTCTACCCTAAATATGCTTCTGCCTCACAGCAAATCTTTCTAATAAGGCTATCTTTGTGTAAGGCTGGGTCAACTCAACTTTAGATTTGAGGGCACCTCCTCCTTTTTATTACTATCCTTATTTATATATATATTAAAAAAAAACATTTGGCACCTGAGGATAGCTGTAATGGGAGGAAGAGAGAGATGACAGTGGTTTCAGGTCTTGAGCTATGAAGTCTCTCTTTGCCAGCCTATCGAATCACGTGTTTCTATTATAATCTTAAATCTCTTTTCTGCAATATTTTAAAAAGTGACATGTGAAGTGCACAAAATTATACTAATGGCTACAAAAGATTGTGTGGTTTGTTTCATTAAGGTTCCTCTGTTTTAGTATTCTGTATTGCTTTGAAAAAAAATCTCCGTTTGTCATAGTTCATAGCTGCCAATTTAAGCAGCCTAGAAATGTTAAAAATCGCTGACCCCCTGGCAAAGCTAACTCTCTGCGAAGTTGGCTGATACAATTGAAACTTTCCAGTGTTTGAAGATCTCCTTAAGTGTTCAAACAACGGGCCCTCCGATCCCGACCGCGTCATCGTGTCTGAGGCGCTCCGTGCCCGTGGTCGGACTCAAAACGCACAGAGGAGCGCCTTGTGCATCAGGTTCTCCAAAGAAAAGACTGACGAAGCCCAACGCGTGTTTCAACACGTCAGCTGGCAACACGACACACGGCAGCATTCGTAAGGAGCAGCCACCCATCATAAAGAGAGATCGCTGGGCTGTGGCTCAAGAATTGTTATTATAAAGAGAATTTCCAGCTACACATCACACTCCGGTGAGGGAATTACAAAACAGTACTCCGGAATTTGTGTTTGTTTGTTTTTTTGCTACTCCAGTATTGATTGGCAACACGGTGAAATAGTGAAGAAAGCTTCCTGTGGTTTCCTTGGTCAATGGAAGTGAGCCTGAAATAACTAGGGAGCTAGGAGGAATTCTGGATGCAGGCTTTGGGAAGAGGAATTCACAACCAAATCAGAGAGGAAAGTCTCTGGCAAAAGCCGGGCTGACCATAGCAGTGCAGGTTTGTGTCATGGTTAGAGCACACTCAGAAACTAACACCGCAGTCGTCCCTGGGCCCCAATGCCTACTTTTCATGGTCTTTAAAGGAAAGGGGAAAAGAAATCAAAGGAGGAAGGTTGACGCTTGGTCCCTTTTGAGTTTGTTAGAAAATGTACATTCATGTTTAGTGAATCAAAGAATCTTCTGGACAAAGAATTAAAGTAAACAAACCTGTTTTTTTACAGTTGCTCATAACCTAAGCTTTCCTCCCTCCCTGTGCGGTTCTCACGCTCCCGGCTTGCCTAGAGCAAAGCGCTTGATATGTGACTATTTTAACAGACTCCTTGTCAGCCCTCAAAAATATAAGCAGTGTTTCGTATAAGCCCATGTTTTCTAAGGCCACGAGAAGAAAATCTGCCAAAAGATTTGCAGTTGTTATCGTCGGTGAAATAGCACTGTGGATCTCGTGTTTCCATTAGGGACCAGCCTCGGGTCTACCCGGGTGGCGCGGCTGTCACTGTGTCTCTGTGAACACCGGAGGTCTCGGCTCTCTGCACTTGAGACTGACTGCACTTGGTGGTTTCCAAGGTCATTCACAAGGACGAGGAGCTCTGAGTGTAATCTCTTATGATAAGGGTGTCATATTTGGGAGAGGTTGGGATACAGAGGGCCGACTCGGAGGCGGGCGAGTTGGGGGTGGTACTCCCCGAGTCCACCGAGTCTCTGAAGGGGGACGGCGGGGTGAGGGCCACCAGC